AAAATGTCTAAAAGTGTACTTTTTTAAAAGATTTTTTTGTTAAAGTGTTTTCCCATATAAGCACTTTTACCAAACTTCATCTGCGTGTGTTTAGATAAGACACCACACTAGCATTAAGGAAAAATTCAAAAGTCCTAAATATGCAAAACATTTTTTTTGGCAAGAAACGTCAGCTTACCTGACAATTTTTGTGTGTGTAAACTATGCCAAGTAGGTGATGTGGTGTGGCTTGTGTTGCCTAGCCCACATGCTTGTACCAGCCTGCACAACTTCATAACAGAATTTGCAGACGCCCACATTCCTGTAGGCAGGACATGCACATGAATCTGGATGCAAGATGTGTCTGGTTATGACTGGTTATGAAGCTGGTTGTACTCGCTAAAAAAGCCTGGCAATCGTGCTCTCTCAGAGTTTGTGTCTGTTGTTACGGCTGCAGAGATATTTTCCTCTGTGTTTTCTGTTTTTGTGAGAGCACCCAGGCTGGTTGTTGGGTGTTTCTGACATGGGTGATTGGTGTAAAGTACACAGTGAATTTGAGCTGAAAGCTAATTAATCACTGTTCAATCAGTTCATTTATATCATTAATCAGTGACTCATTCTAATCTGGCAAGGGCAAATATGTTCCCGATACCCATCGTACCGTATCACATTAATTTGGATGAGAATTACACCATATTTCTTCACAACAGTATAGAAATATGACTTGAGCAATGGTGAGCAAGGCAACAAGGGAAAGTTAACAGAGGCAAACTCCTACCATAATGGACAACTGGTTAATAAGATACACTCATGCCTACACATTCAAAATAAACAAAGAGAGAAATAGCAGTGGCAGTTTCACTCTGAACCGGCTTATTTCAGGCTTTTTTGGCTTATTTTATTTTTGGATTTCCATGAGTGGTAAAATGTACAGATGGCAAAAAATGATGATCATTTTTCTGTACTTTTACTTAAGTAAAGATTTTAAATGGAGGACTTCTACTTGTAATGCAGTGTTTTTACATTGTAGTATTGGTATGTTTACTTAAGCAACGGATCTTAGTACTTCCTCCACTACTGGGTACACATCAGTTTATACAATGTGTTGTTTCCTTCTTACGTGTTATGTGACATTTTATAGACCTGAAAAGCAAGCAAATGATGGATTCAATGAAACCACATGTGCTTTCAGATAGTAAATCTTCCATTCACTGTTTATTTGCCAACATCTTTTGGCATCCCTCAGGCTGTGACCTCAGCATGTGCGTCAGCTCATTAACACAGGTATGTGGCAAAGTCTAAAACTTCCACTCAGGTTGATTTTTGAAATGACTGAAGAAGCAGGCCTCATATTTGTTGATAATCTGTGAAATCAGACCCTTTACTGAGTAAAATCCCATGAAAAATACTTCAGAGTAAAATGTACAATGAGTTCAACAGTAAAACCATTAATTTTAAAATTTTAGCTCAATTGATGGGAATTTAATTTGCAGCTGATCCAAGTGAGTCTGTTAATACTGCTCATTGTAACGTAAGTCAATAATAGTAGTTAACGCTGGAGAAACTTGCAAGAGACAGCTAGATTAAAAAAATTCCCACCCCCTCACTTCAGGCCTCACATAGTACATAGTGAGTGTACAGGCAGGTAGGCCGGCTTAATACAGTCCTGCAACAGCCACAGATTGCTACATCACTTCCCTGCAGGATTGCTACATCACTTCCCTCTAACATGTGGTGATGTAAAGATATGACGTTGCAAAAAATGAAAATTCTTAACGTAGCCTCCCATGCCTTTAAACTAGTGGTGGAAAGTCAGGAAGGTATAAAGTAGGTTAAAAGTAGAATAATTTTAGGTGTTTGCACTTTACTTGAGTATTTCCATTTTATGCTACTTTATATACTTCAACCCCACTGCCTTTTAGAAGTAAATATTGTGTTTTTTATTATTAGTATTCCAAAAATATATTATGTACACTACATTTATCTGACAGCTATAGTTACTTATTATTTACAAATTAAGATTTTACACACAAAACATGACCTGTTTATAAAATCTGCATTGTTTTGATCAAATTACCCATAAAATAAATTAAGCTCCGTCTTGGCAAACTATAACATACAAAATACCATTAATGGATGAGTTACAATAATCCAATATATATGGTATGATAATAGCGGCATGCAGGAACATGAGCAGTTTAATTTTACTTTTGATACTTTACTCTTAAGTACATTTACTTAAGTACATTTTTTAAATGCAGGGTTTTTACACCTTATGGAGATTTTTTTTTTTCACTGTTGCATTGCTACTTTTAATTTGTAAAAGGTTTAAATACATCTTTCACAACAATGCAAGCTGCAAAAAAACAAACTAATGAGCAGGATAAATGTAGTGGAGCACAATATGGTTGAATACAAGTATATTGTTGCACAAAATGACAGCAGTGGAAGAAATACTCAAGTAAAAGTAGTAGGACAGCACCACAAAGGAAAAATACTCCAATACAAGTAAAATTCTCACAGCCAAAATGTAAGTAAATGTACAGATGCAGGCTAATTAAATGTTTTGTAAGATCTTAATATGAAAGTATAGCTGTCAGATAAATTAAGTGCAGTACAATATTTCACTCTGAAATGCAGTTGAGTGGAAATATATCAGCATTAAATGGAAATAGGCCTATTAAAGAAAGGTTAAAAGGGTAAAATTGTACTTAGGCACTTTCCACCACTGTTTCTAAGGCCTTGGTAGGCCATGTTAATAGAGTATTTTCATTTTGTGTTCTTACTAAACCACATAGCATACCAAGGCCTCAAAATTGCACTTCACTAGGCCTAATTGCGTAACCCTACTCTGTTACCTTTTAGTTCCCTAACAGCGTATTAAATGCCTATTCCCATGTCTTCTCTGCTACGTTTAGCTTTAGTGCACATTTCATGTATTTGAGTTTACAAAAATAACTTGACTTACACTCAATCCACGCCTGAACCCTCTCATCAATAATCGACATATTAAATAAAAACAGTATCAAACAAACGAGTGGACCTGACTTCCTTCAACCAAACAGAAAGAAACTTACCGATAAGTGAGAGCAGCGCAGAAGCTTTGCTGTTCCCCATTTCAGAGCTGACAGGTCGCGGCCAACAGGCTCGGTGTGCGCAGGTGTGTGGCAGTCTGGAATGGAGACGCTTCCGACTTGTTCAAATAACTATTAGGTGAGGGGGCAGGCGATGCCTCTCCTGGCAGAGACAACGTAGAAACCAATGGGCTCAATCATGCGGTCTGGGGTGTGGTGACAGACTCCTGTAATTTAGATAATCTTACACCTCAAAGGTCCAAATGAAAGACAAACCCTACAGGCACTTTCCAAAAAGACAAGGAGGGGCTGCGTCTACCACCGTCATCCTTTTATTAGCCTACTGACAGACCTCTTCATTTCCAGATGGACGTCCGGCTTTACTACAACTGATGGACAGCATAGGTGTCATTTACACTGGGGACTCTAGGGATATGTCCCCACCACTTTTTGAAATGATTTTGTTCCCATCACTTTTTTAAGCATAATTTGTTTAAAAAATGTTGTGAAATACAGCTTGCAGAAAAATAAAAAATGAAAACGCATTTAGAAAGGTTTATTTGAACATTAAGAAAACATGCAATGCAATTAAAATATAGAATAAACAAATGTGCATTGTCCAAAAAAAAGTAACTTAAGCTGAAAACAAAAACAACAAGCTGCTGATTATATAATAATGACCCAAAAACGTGCATGCACCAATTAGTAAACTGTTTCTTTTTGGCCATGTTTTCCATTCTCTACCTCTGAACATGACAAAAGAGAAGGGAAGACTAAATCACGCCTACATATGAGTTGCCTCAGCCAGGGATGATATTACATGAGAAAAGTTGATCTACAGAAGAAACAGATCTGAAAGCAACACAGAATGCCTGAGAGCTGCACTGCATTAGATTGTATTATATTTATATATTTTGAAATGTCACATACTACCTAAATTTTGTGTTTCCTTTTACATAAATAAACATTTCACCAGAATGCAGGAATTGAAGTATTTAAAGATCACAATTTCCTCAGGTAGGTCCCCCCAGACCCCCGCTCATATATCTCGGCATTGATGATACCTACCTGATAATATCTCCTTTTTGTGAACCTTATATCGCGTATGGTGATGTCTCACGAGCTAAGTGTTTCTTCACACTCCTAATCTGAGCCCCTGTGTCCCCACCACTTGGACAGTAGATCCTTTACTTAATTTAAAGTCCAGAATCATTGTCAGCAAAAATATACTTACTACAAATATAGAAGTAGTTGTTATACAGCAGAATGGCTCAGAGTTGGATTATTATATTATATAAAAGGTTAAGATTATTGATTCAAAACATGTAAGAAGCATTTTATTATTGTAGATGGTCATGGGGGAGCTCATTTTAGTAACTGTATGTCGCATCAGCATATGCATTTAGGCCTACAGTATGTTTTGTTTGGAAAAATAGCTGAAAAATAAACGCAGCGCAGTAAAAAAAATGTAGTGGAGTAGAAGTATACAGCAGGATGAGTTACTTTCCACCACTGCAGATAGGTCTGGTTGTGATATTCCTTTAGGGGCATGTAATGTAATAGGAACAGGTCTGTAATAACTCTTCATTCGTTAAGTATTTTAAAGACACCTTTTTATTTTGACATGATGCTGTACAGGCTCTTTAGACTGTTTTTTATACCATTTGTACATATTATTTATTTATAATAGAAAACATTCATTACATTTATTACAAAATATTAACGCTTTAAATAAATTAATTGATATATTACAATATGGGCAGTGCAGTGGTGTGGTGGTGCAGTGGTTAGCACTGTCGCCTCACAGAAAGAAGGTCGTGGGGGTTCCGTCTTTCTGTGTGGAGTTTCCATGTTGTCTGCGTGGGTTCTCTCCAGGTGCTCCAGCTTCCTCCAAAGGCTAGGTTAATTGGTGACCCTCAATTGTCCTTAGGTGTGGTTGTCTGTCTATGTGTGGCCCTGCAATGGACTGGCGACCTGTCCAGGGTGTACCCCACTTTTTGCCTGATGTCAGCTGGGATTGGCTCCAGCCCCTCCTGTACAGGATAAGCGGTTGACGATGGATGGATGGATGATATATTACGATAGAAAGTCATATTTGTTCTCCCTCAATCTTTAAAGGCAATAAAGTGATTAATATCTGACCTTGTTCAACATCAAAAGGCAGATTAATCTTCTAGTCTCTTAATTGCTTTGTAAATCTGTGCTGTGGCTTATACAGTATGATAAAACATTATGGTTTATGTTTTTTCCACTGAGAGATAATACTGAAAGTGGTGACAATGATGATGACAAAGAGTTAGTTGTGGGGGTTACACCGACAACTCAGATGGTGCAGATTTTATCAGCGGTACCGATTTTTTACACCTGAAAAAAAATAAAAAGAAGAAGAATCCGAATTAGAACTTATTCACTTATTCTTGGTACCCATTCGAGACATTTTTAAGCATTGTTTTTCACACACAGTAAAATTACAAAAATGTGAACTTGTTTATTTTATAATTTAATCAAACAGTAAACTTAAACAACTGTAAACCAACAAAGAACTGAATCTTCATCATTTTGCTTGATGGTAGGAAGAAATCCCAGACAAATATGCCATGACTTAAATGTGACTGCCTCACTTATCAGTCATTGAGAGACAAAGACAACATGTTCAGAGTCAGGAAGTTTTGAGGCTTTAAATTTATAATACTACATCTATGAAGATTCTTAGTCATCCAGGTTATAGATCTCCAAGGTGGGTTAAAATAAAGGGGAAACTGGACTTGACTGAAGATGCTCGAGGATGTCTTAGAGTATAGTCAACCATGTCCAATTGCCCTTGATTTTAATCCACCTCGGAGATCTATAGTACGACATTTCCCCATGCCCCTTCATGCCCTACTCCTTCATGCAAGTACAGCATTGTAAGGTGAAAGCCTGTAGATACTCACCTCTTACTGGCGAAGCAGTAAATTATGATGGCCAGGACAAAGAAGAGAATAACCACCCCAAAAATGATGCCAATCAGTTGCTCTAACTCGGGCAGAGTGTGAGAGCGTTCACTGAAGAACAGGCAGCGATGCCCGCTGTACGAAGACTTGCAACTGCAGACCAGAAAGAGAAATATGAGCATTCCAAAGGTGAACATGAACCAACATGTGAAGTGTTTTTACTGATCATAAGAAAAACATATTCAGGATACACAGGGAACCTATAGGCAAGGCTTTAACGTGTGTGTGCGCTTGTGCTCCTTACATGCAAAAAGGTTGGTCATTGTCTTGAGGGTACATGCACTCTCCACCATTTTCACAGTAGTTTACATGTTCACTTCCACATGATCTGTGTGAGCGCAGAACCATAGGTTCCTCCATACTGTCTGCAGAGAGAGAGAGAGAGCGAGAGAGAGAAGCTCCATCAATCACACAATTTTAACATAAAAATATGGGGGCCCATTTGTGCCTTTAAATAACTGACTAATTAATAAATTAAGTGATTATTTGATTAATTTAATAAAAACACACACACACATATATATATACATATATATACACACATATATATACATATATAGACACACACACATATATATATGTATAGGTATCATTCATTTGCACAAGATGGATAATGTTTATCTTGTGCACACAAATTATTAACTTGTATACACAAGATAAACATTAGTCTATCAGCTAAATCAGAGATTAAACACCTTTCCATATTAAACTCTCCTCTGAAGACACTTACTGTTGTTGAGCTGCGTGCTCAGAGATGAGTTTGACAAAGCAGGCGCTGCTGTGGTCTGGAGGTTGTCAGTCAGCATTGCAGATTTTCCTACCGTGGTGAAGAGCAGAAGCATCGACAGTGCTGAGAAGAGGGCTGGGAAGAACAGAGAATATGAATTTAGATTATGTTATGTGAAAATTGTGATTTTTTTTGGTTTTGTGCTGCAAAACACATTGTTTTCTAGTCACTATCCTTGTTACAAATTATGTGATCCTGGCACCACTGTGATCACAAATCAGAGAAAACACTGGCTGTAACTTGGTATAGCATCATTCCTTTGTATACGTTTATGGAAAGGAGTATGTCACCAAAACACACACGTCAATAGATTTGCTGTATTCAAGGACAAAATGACTACCTCATTTTAAAATCTGACATCAAAGAGTAAACTAGAAACGTACCCTTCTCCAGGTATGTCTGTCTTTGTATAAACATCTTGTCTTCTGTCAGCGCGATGTCTGATGTTCTCAGCTCAACTCCAACTGCCTATGCGATGTGACCCTCAACCGGCTTTTGGTGAGCTTATATAGGGAGCTCCCAACCACTGAAAATGACGATCAATGAGCCAAGGCTTTTTGAAAAATGAGAAGCGTGTCCTTCCAAAAAATGTGTTTGCATTTGCACCGACGCTCTGCATGCAGAGGCAAGGCTTAGAGCTTGATGATGATGCTGGTGAGGGCATGTGATTACCCAGAGGCTCTTTAAATGTGGTTTCTTTCCCTGGAAGTCTCTGGATTCGCGCAATCCTTTGGCACACAGTTGGATAGTTCCACTCAAATGCTTTCTTTACAGTTTTAAGAATTTGCTTCATGGGTGTTGTGAAATCTGTAATTTCATCAGAGGGGTGATTACAGAAGGAAGGATTTTGACAACACAGGTAAAGAGAGGATGCATAGATAAGAAATATAGAGAAATACAGTGCTGTGAAAAAGTATTTTTCCCCTTCCTGATTTCTTCTATTGTTGCATATTTGTCACTTAATTGTGTTTTTCAATCAAGACTGAATTTAAGACAAAGATAACATGAGTAAACACAAAATTTTCATTTCATTTGATTTACTGAAGGAAAAAAAGTTATCAAACACCAAATGGCCTGTGTGAAAATTGTCCTCTTAGTTACTCATTCAACCAGTAAACCACACTGAATTGATAACCGGGTCCCTTTACATCCCAACAGTCATATATGGGGGTGGCAGGGGGATGCTTTGCTGCTTTAGGACAAGGACGACTTGCCATAATTGGCAGTCATGAATTTTGCTCTCTACCAGAAAGTTCTGAGGGATGATGTGCGGTCATTGGTCCATGATCTGAAGCCCAAGCACGACTGGAGAATGACACAAAAATGCGCAAAAAATTAATTGGTGAAAAGAAAATGTGCCTCCTGTTCACTTTCATTCTATGCGAGTGAATGGGCGAATAAAACATTTGCATGCAGTAACAAAGCATATTTACACAGAATCCAAGTGCACCTCTGAATGGTTCAAAATATATAAAATTAAGGTTTTGGAGTGGCCTAGTCAAAGTCCTGATTACCTGCCATACCCTGATTCATCTCCCCTGCACCTCGTTATCCCCTCTTCACTAGTGTTCTTGTGTTTGTCTGTCCCCCTTTGTTGTGCCAGTTTGTCTCGACTCCCTGTAGTAAGCGTCCCAGCATTCTTTTGTATTTCCTAGTGACAGTCAAAGACCTTTTGTTCTGTGAACCTCAACTCTGCCTTTCGCCCTTTGATTTGGATACTTTTGCTGTTTAGACTGACTTCCTGTGGACCAAACTTTGCCTGTCAGACTTGCTTTTGAGTCCTTTCACAGCGATTGCAGTTGTGATAAGTTCTGCAAAGTTGGCCAATATTCCTCCACAGCAATGTGAAAGACTTATCTCCAGTTATCCCAAGTATTTGGTTGCAGTTGTTCCTGCTAAAGGTGGCATAACCAGTTACTAAGTTTATGTGGGCAATTACTTTTTCTCATGGGTGATATGCGTAGGTGATAACTCTTTTTCTTTCAATAAATAAAATTAAAATCCAAAACTGTATTTTGTGTTTATTCAAGTAAATATGCAAAAATATGAGAAATTAGGAAGGTGACAAATACAGTATGGCCTGTACCTGACAGAAGCTGTAAAGACAAAGTGAAGCATTTTTTTACTGGATGGCAGCCAAACCTGGGATTTCTCCAGTGATGCTGGCCAACATAGTTGAGTTGCCCTCCAGTTGTTATTTGGAAATCTCATTTTATGCAAGAACCACTTTCTAATACACCCAATATAAAGGGGTTATGAGCTGTAATTACCAGCTTTAATAATGGTTAATACATTATTTACTCTAATACTTTATAGATCAGTCATTAATAAGAATAAACTTTGGTTTGTCAGGTTGTGGGAAATCCTTGCTTACACGTAAATCATAAAATGAATTCCCATTCTCCTTTGATGAATTTTTCAAGTGATATGTGATGAATAACAGCAAATCTGTGTGAGATAAAATAAGCATGAATCAAAGTCCCATTTTCCAAGTAACCTATAATAGATCTACTAAACTACTAACAAACTACTAATACTAACTAACCACAGTCAAACTTGCTCAACAGCCATTAACAAGGACTTGTTAAGTGATCAAACAGTCCACTGGAGGGGTCTCCCTGAGGAATTAAAGAGAACTAAAATGTGACCTTTGTTGCTTGTTATACCCTTCTCACTACAGTTTCCGCTGTTGAATAAAGGCAAAATGCCAAAAGAGTCACCGGTAAATCAGAAAAATACATTGTAGTATTTGCACAGCATTGTTTTTTTATTTAATATTCCTTTTCCAGTGAATCTGGATGTTCAAAAATGAACCAAAATGACTTCAGTAGAAAAAATATTAATCTAAATTCTTAAAAAGTGAACTGAAATAAATAACTTAAATAAATAAATGAACAAATTCAAAATATAAACAAAGTACATCATCAAGTAAGTTTCCCAGCAGATATGGAGTCTTTTTAAATAAACGTGTGTGTGCATAAACCTAAATTAAAGGATGCGTTTGTGTGTGTGTGTGTGTGTGTGTGTGTGTGTATGCATATTGTATATCATTCAACAAAGTGACCGGCTTTATTATGTGTGTTTAATGCATCAGTGCGTTTCTGGCAGCAGTCACAGTGTTCTTCATCAGCATGGCGACTGTCATCGGACCCACGCCTCCAGGAACAGGTGTGATGAAACCTGCTTTCTCCTTCACTCCTACAACAAGTCAAACAATTCACATGGAGTCAAGTCACTTTGAAGAACTAGAGCTATGACCGACAGATAATTATAAATCTATCTCTCTGTTTAGACTTGTATTTCTGTGGAACAACATTAAATACAGCAAACTACAGGACATTCAGAATTCAGAAATTTATTTGTCTGTGTTAATAAACTTGTAGTGTGTTAATCCTATTAGCACTGTGGTGAGAGCGGATATTTTCACAGACACAAAAAGCTACATTAAGGAAATCTAACATGATACACCAGTTTTGTAGAAATAAATTCATTTCTTTTCTTTTTATGCGTTTATTTTGTTTATATATTAGACTAAATGAGCTAAGAGAGCCTGTGTAACGAATAGAACTCGCCGCTCGTAAACATCTCCCAGTTGAAACTGTGTGGGGGTAGGCCCGAGCTTTACTGTCAGACTATCGCCTCTTGAGGTACAAGTGGTATTACACTACAGGACATAATGTTTTAAACCTTTTTTTACTGAAAGCTGCAGCTTTGTTCACTTTATTCGCAACACAGTTTCACAGAAACGTTCCTTTCTGAAGAATTTCTAATAACTTTTTGATTATTTACCCTCAAAGTCCACGTCACCGATGAGTCTGAGTTTTCCAGTTTTCGGGTCCTGTATCCGGTTGATGCCTACGTCGATGACTGCTGCACCCTCTTTCACCATGTCTGCTGTAATCAGGCCAGGAACACCTGTGCACAGAAACCAAGGAGGGGTTTACAGTTACAGAAGATACTAATTTAAAGCTTTGTTAATTGTTCCGAGAAAAAGATGTCCCCTCCCCCTCTGTTTGTGCATTGTGAGCATTATTCCTGGAGAACTACCTGGCCCCAAGTGTTGTGGTAACGTGATTAAACACAAATGAATTTAATGTGCACCTTGCGAGCTAAAGATCATCTGAAATTATTTAGATCTTTGAGATGAGACTTTGCCACAGGGTCCTTCTTCAACACAGCATCTCAAGACCAGGCAATAAAGCAGGACCTTGACAATGTGATTTAGTGCTGCAAATACCAAAGTTACAATTAATCAAACTGTTCGGCTGCTCATGCTGAACATGTTGACTCGACTCAGACAACCAGACATTAAAGTTCATCTGCAGACACTACATAACCCACAACCCACATCAGAATAGAGATAAACATTTCTGCTGGTTCCATAGAGTTCATATCAGCCACTGAATGGCTGAATGGAGAGTTTTCTTTTCCTATCTGTAGCGATGCTTTTCATCTCCTTTTAATCACTAGTAGAATACCATGACAATTACCACTTCGCTTCAGACTTAAAAGGCAGCATAGGAGAATAAGTTGATACCTCAGCCTCCTATGAAAACAGTTTTTGATAGTTGTACGCTGGGGTCCACATAATCATACAGCACAGTATAATTGATTTCCAAATGTCGGTGGATGAAAAGAAAATGAGATGCCCTAGACAGAGAGCTGCGTTTAGTCATCAGGGAAAGGCACTATAAACCGCCTTAGGCATATAAAGTTACTTTGGAGACTTTGGACTGATACTTCTGCCCCGCATTGTCTCACATTCCAGCTGCCACAGATCACTACTGTTTTTCAAAAAAGCTGTGACAGCAGTTGGAGCAGAGTCACAGATAACTATACCGAAACTTCAGGCAAGATCACATCAAGTGAGGGCTAGTGAGCACTTTCACAATTGTTCTTGCATGTTACGTCATCATGCCACGTAATTCCCTCTGTGTCAAAATAACGATATGGCATCTGATGCTGGCTCACACATTTTAAACTCTCCAGTTAAACAATGTCCAGTTATTCAAAAGTGAATACAAAGATGAAAGATAAAGTTATTACTTAGACTGTGTGTAAGTTTCCATTTGATTGTGCAGTGACCAAGTGCATCAATATCTCTACAGTAGTTGTGCTTACAAAACAACAGACAAATTTAATGGACATTGCTGGGCTCCCTGTTAGAGAGTGTACAGACACTGCAACCTTGCGTGAAAATAAAAGAAATTAGTTTTTGAAACAAATCAAAAAGGCAACAATCTGATTCAAAAATAGTTTATATTTACTTAATCGACTCTATTCAAAATTGTTGTGTACTTGTCAGATTTTAACAGTAATACAATATTACAGATTAACTATATAAAACCCCAAACCAAGTACCGATAACATTATTGATCAATACAAATTGCAATAAAATGACTAGTTGATTAATTTATTAGTCATTCTCTCGATACACCCAGTGCAGTGAGCATGCATTGCCTCATTCTCTTGGCAGTGTGCTCGATGGCAAATGACAGTTTTAACTTGGAAAACAGTGATATGGGGCGCTGAATTTGATTATTTGGGAAAACCGGTGGACGCCGCCAGAGCAGAGTGTTTCTGGGGGCTGATGTACAACAAGTGTTGTATGTGTAACATTCAATGGATGGCAGTATGGATTATTGTATTTACCTGAAGACCATCATCGATGAACAATAAATATTCAAACAAAAGGGCAAGTGCAAACAACATTATATCGTATCACACTGGAGTGGGCTATGGTGGCTGGGAGAGCGCCTCAATTAGATGCCTGTCTATGCAACCCTCAGTGGCTTTAAGTGGGGACTTAGCCACTAC